AGAAACCTTCTCGCAGGTGTGTTCAACAGGAATTACTTTTCAATGAGATGGTAGTGCCAAATTTGATATATATAAAAAATAAATAAATAAATAAATAAATAAATCATGGAAAAAGGAAGCCATTAGCATAAAATGTGAACTCTTCTGCATGGCCCACTAACCATGATGTGAAGATGCTTCACACACAATTTCCAGGAGACTTACAGAGATGTCAGCCACAACTCACTCCCAACCCACTACCAAGGCAGCCTGAAGTTGACTTTTCCTGTTCTTCTTTTAAGCAGCTTATGGTGATACAAACCTTACCATTTGGACTGTTTCTGGCCTCTCGGTTCAATTAAATTGAAAAGTGGGGGACTTCCCTGCTCCTTTTGGCCACCTAAGGCTGCTGTCAGGACACACCCCTGTCCTTGGCCCATTTTCCAGTGCAAATCTTCTTTGATAACAGGCAATTAAGGGCTCTCCTGCTGATCCAAAGAGCTCTCTCTCCCACTTCTTCTGCCAACCCTGCCAGCATATACCCAAGGCTCCCAGGGTCTAGAGAGAGGGAAAGAGAGGCATGTGTGGGGAAGGAAGTGACTTTATCCAGCAATTCTCTTATCCCACTGAGGTATTCTGTGGGATTTTAGAGCTGTTGAGGGAAAAGAAACAGCTTTTTAGCTGCTACCCCATGATGAACCTGCCCACCCAGCCCCAGAGAAGCAGGCATAGTAGCGTCTGATCTAGAGGGCTGAGCGAATGCCTTTTCTTACAGGAGTTCGTGGTCCTCTGGAAGAACACGGACGTGATTCCAAATGTGCATTGAGTGGTCTTCCAAAATGTCACAAAATGTAACCCTACTGTGGATTAGGTGCTGCAGGGCCTGATCCATGGACAATGTGGAAAGTCACTGGTTTTTTAATCCTTGTGGCTCTGCTTCCCTGTCCCTTTCTGAAGGTCAGCAGACACAGGAAACCATCTGCCGATTACAGCACCAACAGATACGGAAAGCTTTTGATAAATACCTAGACCTAGGTTTAGCTATCTATCAAACCCACTACCTCTCCAGGTCTGAGCAGCTGATCAGTGGGACAGATGATTCTCTGTGAAATGGGAAAGTCCCCCAGCGCTTTTGGACCCACTGCCTTCTGGAGTCTCCCGATCAGCTGCAAGGCAAACCTGGGGAGGTGAGGGGTTTGGAAGAGTTCGGTTCCTATACTGTACTTGCCACTTCCTGGAACCAGCCAGAGAGCTGTCAGTGGATTGGCAGAAGTGTCTGTGAAGCAGAAAAGCCTTTACTCCTTCATGGGACAGCTCCTCCAATCCACTGAACAGCTGTCTGGTAATCCAGTTTTGACAGCAGTTTACCATCCAATCTAAGCTCCGAGAAAACGTACTGGGCAGCTAATCTGGTGGCTGCAGGAGTTCCCTGGCAAAGTTGGAGAGCCAGTCCTCTCAAAACCCAGCACTGGAGCCAATTCTCCTGCTTTACCTTGCAGAGGCCTGAGATGCCAATCAGTTGTTCGGTGGACTATGCAGAAGTGTCAATCTCCAGGGAAAAACAGTGGGGCTAGAGGGAGATTGCTTCTTTTCAAAGCCAAGAATAAATGGGCTATGAGACAGCTAAGAGAGGCTGTATATAAAGCTTTGAAAAATCCATAGGCAGATTGAGTGGGGAAATTCCTGTGTCTGATTAGGCAGATCCAGGATTGCCTTTCTTTTAGAAACTTAAGGCATCTGTTTTGCCCCTTAATAATAAAAAATAAACACATCATACTGCCTTATAATCTACAGGTGTTCCATACTTTAGTAGCATAATCTGAGTCTCCTCTAGGGATACCTGTTGGAATTGCTACATGTTTCACCTGTTTTTAATGTCCTCTATTCTGCACCAAACCCTTTGAAGTACATTATGAAGGCATGGGTTTCAGCATCAGAGGATTTGGAGGTTAATCCTATTAGGATGCTGTTGGCACCCAAATTTATTTCTCTGCAACATCTCTAGGGCTTGCCTGAAATTGCCATGGAAGAATAAATAATAGCTTGTAGCTGAATCCTCAGAAGATGGAAATGCTCAAGGACAGGTCTGAAAACTCCAGCAGAACATTCCATTCTAGATGGGGTTATACTGCCCCCCAACTCAACGAAAACCATCTATGGATTAGGGTTTGGAATCCCTAAAACTCTAAGGATATATTAGTGCTATGCCTAGTGACACAAAGTAGTAATAACATGATTCACTGCAACATCTGGGTGAGTGCTCTTGCATGCTATATACAGTAAGTGAGTGGGCTGCTATATTACAGCTTCACTGATAAGATCTGGGGGATTGTCATATTTTAAAAGTTCTGTAGTTTTGTACAACTGTGAAAGTATTTGGAATGTAGTCCTAATTCTTTGTTTGCAAATATGATCCTAAGTGAAGTTTTAAATGCATTTTAGAACAATGAATTGTTTTAGTTGTAAAATGTATGTTAAAATGTATAATCATTATCTTTATTTGTAGTTTTCCTTGATAATTACAGTTATTTATTTGTTTGTTTGTTTGTTTGTTTATTGTTAAATTAGTATGCTGCCTGACTTCCAACAATTGATGATGCACCTCAAGTCTTCATTGGAGACACCCCAAATCTCCAGAATGGACTCTGCAGATTAAAACATATCACTCCCTCTTTAAAAACAAGAAATATAATAAAACCAAAGTTTAATTGTTAATCAATTTCATCTTAATTATTTTTGTTCACATCGAAAGTTATCTTTTCATTGCAAATTGTCAACAGACTTAAGTAATAGATGATATAAAGTTTAATAAATAAAATGATACACACATGGTCTCATCTCTATGCATATACATACACACACATAGACATACCTTTACCCCAGTCATAGCACAATTCCCTGTGGATATATGCATTTGTCTTCATGCCTGCTGCTGAATTATCACAAATTCTCATTTATAAATCCACTGTGAAATGCTGCTTCAAAAGCACCAAGAAAAATGTCTATAGCAAAGCATGATAAGTCACTTCAGGTCAGGCATTTTTAGCTGACATTCCTAAAGCTTACCTTTTCTGGGGATGCATCTTGGAAAGGGTGACCAGCCATTTTTTGTGCAGCTGGATGTTGTCTGCTGCTGTTCAGGATGATAGCCCTCATTACAAGCAAATGTTATGTTTTCACCCTCTATGTACTTGTTCCAATAATTAGAGATGAAGTGACCATAATGAAAACGTTGAGAATGATCGCATGTTTCTAAAAGCAAAAAGAGCAATTTAGTTTCATAATTGATGGTTATTGGAAGGCAGTTCATACTCCACATGATATCTAATTCACAGAGCTGTCAAGAAGATGTGAAGAGAGGAAGAAGATGATGACCAAGAACACTATTTTTCTGTTTGTTTTTTTAACAAAGGTCTTCACCTCTCTCATTTAAGCTTTTAGTACACGCACTTTTGCAAACTGTAGCCTCCGAATAGCCTTAAGGGTCCCTCGAGAAGAAAGAGCAGCAGAAGCAGCCCCCATCAGGCAGAAGAACCGAAGAATGGGCTGAGATCTCAGTTGGGTGCTGCCTCTTCAAGGTTAAAGCAAGGTCAGGGTAGCATCTCCCTGGCCTGCTTTGCTTATGCTTGGCAATATCTACTGTATTCCGGATCATA